TCAGGTCACTTTCCATCGTTCGTCTCCATGTTGTTTTTGGGCGCCCCTGTTTTCTCTTTCCCTCTTGTGTCCATGTGAGAGCTGTTTTGGCAGGTATATCAGAAGTCATTCTCATAACGTAGCCAAGCCATTTCCATCTTCTCTTGGTAATCATACTGTCTAAAGTTTCTTGGTTTGTGACTTGAAGTAGTTTAGTGTTTGAGATTGTATCTGGCCAGAATATTTTGATAATTAATTCTACGTAGACATGTGTGGTGGAAGGTGAACAGCTTGTGTGCATCCTTTTCTGGTCATTCTCCAGCATTCCGCTCCATAAAGAAGAACTGGCAAAATGATGTTCTTGTAGAGTCGGAGTTTTGTTCCTCGGCAGTAATTGTTGGATTTCCAGATTTGCCTCATCCTTCCAAAAGCAGCTCTAGCTTTTTTTAGGCGTGACTGTATGTCTTCCTCTGTCCCTTCCAGTATGGACACCACACTGCCAAGATATGTGAAATGTTCTACATTTTCAAGTGATTGGTTACTTATGGTCACTGGTTGCTGGTTTGGACTGTTTGTCATGATCTTAGTTTTCTTTGTATTTATTCTCAGTCCCACCATTTCTGCTGTGCAGTGTAGTCTGTTACTTTTCGCTTGTATATGTTCATGTTTATGTGATAGGAGTGCTATATCATCTGCAAAATCAAGGTCCTCAAGCATGGTGAATGGAGTCCATCGTATGCCTCTTAATGTCCTGTCTACTGTGTTTTTTAGTATCCAATCAATCACAAGGTTGAAGAGGAGAGATGGCATAACACATCCCTGTCTTACACCTGTCTTTACTAGGAATTTTTTATACTGCAGAAAATTTTTTTATATAAGAGAGCAATTATGTTGACTATTTTTTCTGGAATTCCATAATGTGGTAAAATTTTCCACAGACCGTCTCTATGGACGCTGTCAAAAGCTTTCTCAAAGTCCACAAAATTAATATATATACTTCTCTGCTATTTGTTGCATTGTTCTAAAATGTTACGTATGGCGAAGATGTGCTCAGTTGTTCCTCTGCCCTTTCTGAATCCTGCTTGTTCCACTCGTAGGAATTTATCTACTCCTTTTTCAAGCCCCATTATGATGATTTACAAAATATTTTGCTTGGTACTGAGAGTAGAGTAACTCCCCTCCAATTATTGCAGTCTGTTAAGTCTCCTTTTTTTGCGGATTTTGACTATTGTTCCTTCAGTCCAGTCATCAGGCAACACTTCTTTTTCACAAATATCCTTGAACAATGAGAAGTTCTGCTGGCAGTTCGTCTTTGCCTGGTGCTTTGTTGTTCTTTAAAGTGTGTATAGCTTTAAGGATTTCTTGTTTGCTTGGTGGTTCAGTAATAATGTCAATGTCCTGAGAGGCTGGTTGAATATCTGGGGGATTTTCAGGATCAGGTCTGTTCAAGAGGTCGGAGAAATGTTTAGTCCACTGCATGTCTTGTTTTTGTTCTGTGGTGAGCAGTCTGCATTGGTTATTTCTGAAGGGTATGCTGTGATAATTGTTTCTGTTTCCGCAAATTTGCTGGGTAATTTTGTGTAGGGTTTGTAGATCATGTGCTTTAGCAGCATTTTCTGCTGTTTCTGCAAGATTTTCCATAAATCTTCTCTTATCAGCTCTGGCACTTTTCTTTGTCATTTTATTTAGTTCGCTATATTCTAACATTAGTTTGTCTTTCTGACGTTCTGATTTAGCGTGATTTATGAGGCTCTTTATTCTTTTTCGCTTGGCAATATAGTCCATGGTTTGACTACTTATCCATTCTTTGTGGTGTTGTTTCCTGGTTCCTAATATGTTATTGCTAGTTGATTTGTATGTTTCTTTGATCTGGTTCCATCTGTCTTGAATGCTGATTGTAGTTGGAGTTTCTGAGCCACTTGATAGGGTTTGAAATCTATTTTTGAGTTATACTATAAATTTAGTGGCAATGTCTTTTTCTCTTAAAAGGTTAACATTGTAACGTGCTGTCTGTATCTTAACTTGCGTGTAAACTTTTTTTTTTTTGAGTTTAAGTCGTAGTAGAGCGACTACAAGGTGATGATCGCTTCCCACTTCTGCTGCCCTTTTGACACGCACATCGAGTAGGGACCCACGCCATTTTCTGTTTACCATGAAATGGTCGATATGGTTTAAATCTCTTCTGTTTGGGGATATCCATGTAAGCTTGTGTATATTCTTGTGAGGGAATAGTGTTCCTCATATAACAAGTCTATTCGCCGTGCAGAAGTCGCTCAGTCCCATACTGTGATAAAAATTAACGTAGCCAGCAGTGAGTTTCGATGTCGGTACGCTTGGAATTACTAGTCGGACTCGCAACACCTAAGCCACGGACGCGGCGCAAGCGTTGCAGTACCACCAGGAAATTAGTACGTATAGTCAGCCAACTGGATAGATAAAATAATAGGCAAGGAACGGTACCGAACATTAAAGATCAAATGGACAGATGGACTGAGTATACTGAAATACTTCTGAGTAGACTAACCCCAGAGGTTTCTCCAGATATCCGGCCTGTACAAGTAAAACTGGATATCAACGGTGAGATACCATCTAAAGAGAATTTTAGGAAGAAATCACTCTTCGGATCTAAAAGCTACAAGCGCAGAAGATATTCCTGCAGAAGTTACTGAAGCCAATATTAAACATCATAGGAAATAATACAGAAATTATTCAGTAAAGTTTGGGAGATCCAAGAAATACCAGCAGACTGGATAGAAAGATACATTGTGAAACTCTCCCCCCCCCCCCCCTTCCTATCCACCCGCCCACAAAAACAAATGTGATCTACAGAAGTGTGAAAACTATAGATTAATTTTTTAGCTGTCAGTTCCTAAACAATATTAGGTGTAATTATTTTGGAAAGACTAAAATATATTATTCATAAAAAGCTAAGAGATGAACAGGCAGGTTTTCGGTCAAACAGATCCTGAACTAACCAGATAGCTACAACTTAACATTGGATTCATAGATTATGAGAAAGCTTGTGACAGAATTGGTAGGGCATTTGCTGGGAATTAATGAGGCACTATGGAATCATAGAAACTTATTAAAGACATGACAAGTTCTCTATGAGGGAAAGCTTACAGATACATGTGAAATAAGAACGTGTGTGCGACAGGGATGTCTTTTGTCGTCTCTACTATTGTCACTGGCAATAGATTGGATTATGAAGAGAGCAATTGCTGACACCAGGAATGAATGACCCCTAAAAACAGCTTGATGATCTAGAATTCGCTGATGATATTTCTTGTCTGTCCCACTCACGGAATCAGATGCAACATAGATTAAATATGCTTGTTGCAAAATCACAACAGCTAGATCTGAAAATCCACAAGGATAAAAACACAGATTGAAAGAAGTAATCAGGCAAATAATAATGTGTGGTTTTTCCTAATGATACGCCACTTCAAGGCGTGGAGTCGTACGCCTGTTTCGGCAGTATTATAGATACAGATGGGGAACTGATAGATATAAATAAGATTCGAATAATAAAGGCAATAGCAGCTTTCATTGAACTAGGAAATGAGTGGATGTCAAAAGAAATGAAAACTAATATTTAGCTTTAAATTTTTCATTCTTATGACAAATCAGTGCTGTTGTATGAAGCGGAAACATTCATAACTATTAAAGCAAATATAAAGAAACATTCATTAACTTAATCCTGTGCAGAATGGAGAGAAGTATATGTTATGATAGAAACACTAATGTTGAGTTTTGGAAGAGATCCATACACATTCCTGTGAGAAAAGATCTGAAGAACAGATGTTGGCGTTAAATACGATACACATTGAGGAAACCTAAAAGCAATATAACTAGAATGTGTTTGTATTTGAACCCATAGGGGCTTTGAAATAAAGGCACACCTAAAACACTTTGGAAACGAAGCTTTAGAGTTAGGTAGAAAAAAAAAACGGGAAAAGGCAATGAGATAAGCTGCTTGCAATAACAAAGAATATAACATCTTGGCGTGAGTTGGCTCAGGGTCTATGCTCCATAGGGGATAGATGGCAAAAGAAGACATATATGCATATATATATATATATATATATATATATATATATATATATATATATATATATGTGTGTGTGTGTGTGTGTGTGTGTGTGTATACATGTATATACACAGACACATCATGGATACACTTACTTTAACCACATTATTCACTCTTTTAGAAGAAAGTAGGACTTTTGTTAGTTTGTCAAGTATGTGTATAAACAGCGAGACTTGCAGACATCAACAGACTTGATCAACCACTAGTGCACTCAACAGTAGACCTAAATGTGTGTATAAACTAACAAACAACGGAGGTAATCAAGTCAGGCTTGGCTTGTGTAAAACATCAACAGACGTGATCAACCATTAGTGCACTAGAAAATAGATCTAACTATGTGTATAAACTAACAAACAAACAACGGAGGTAATCAAGTCAGGCTTGGCTTGTGTAAACATCAACAGACGTGGTCAACCACTAGTGCACTCTAAAATAGACCTAAATGAGTGTATAAACTAACAAACAACGGATGTAATCCAGCCAGTCGGCTTGTGTTAACATCAACAGACTTGATAAACCACTAGTGCACTCAACAGTAGACTTAAATGTTCGTATAAACTAACAAACAACGGAGGTAATCAAGTCAGGCTTGGCTTGTGTAAAACATCAACAGACGTGATCAACCATTAGTGCACTAGAAAATAGATCTAACTATGTGTATAAACTAACAAACAAACAACGGAGGTAATCAAGTCAGGCTTGGCTTGTGTAAACATCAACAGACGTGGTCAACCACTAGTGCACTCTAAAATAGACCTAAATGAGTGTATAAACTAACAAACAACGGATGTAATCCAGCCAGTCGGCTTGTGTTAACATCAACAGACTTGATAAACCACTAGTGCACTCAACAGTAGACTTAAATGTTCGTATAATCTAACAAACATCGGAGGTTTTCGAGGTCAGTAAACATCAACATAACACAACCAGTATGGCATCCAACACTACAGTCAAGATGCCAGGCACAACGAAAATGACACCTGACCTAGTTTTCAGTGAAGAAATGGCTTTCGCAATCATTATCATCTTTCACCGTGCGATCTTTCCTTCTATGGGCGTGTTGGGAATAGCCGGTAATGTGACCAGCATGGTGATACTGACACGTCGAGGACTGAGAAAATGTTCTAACATACTTCTCTTGTCGCTGTCTGTCTCTAATGTGACTTTCTTGATTGGTGTCAATAACTTTACTCAACATATATACAGTAACAATGATCCTGAAGGATTCCAATTCTCTAAATCTATCAATTACGTGTGTTATATATGTCATTTAATATGTAACTTGGCATATGCACTGGGAGTGACCATGGGTCCGCTGATCCCTATTCTAATAACAGGCGAGCGTATAATAGCCATATTTTGTCCACTCAAAGCAAATTTTATCTTAACACCCAGGCGTACAGTAATTACCCTGCTCTGTTTCTTTTTGGTAACTGGACTATATTGCTTCTATCACGAGATACTTTGTGTACAGTTGAAGACATATGTCATAAATGGAGTCACCACAACCTTGATTGTCGACAGTGATATGTGGAGGAATCATGTTAACAGCGGTCTGTATCAGCTGTTAGAGCACATATTAAATTACCTGACAGGAATAATAGCTCTTGGTATGATTACTGTAGGCTGTGTAATTATTGGGCTCAAGATCATATACATCACCAAGAGACGCCAACAGCTAACTTCGAGGGTCAATGCGAGCACGAAACGCGGCATAACAAAGACAACTAAAACTTTACTGAAGATTTGTTTCCTGTATATTGTGTGTTATGGTTCTGCGTTTGGGCTGGCTTACATTGTAGAGAATAAACTACAACAATGGTCTGTTATACGTGTGGTAGTGTGTGTTCATAACCTGATAGTTTGTATCAACTGTCTTGGGGACTTTCTTATATATGTCGCATCTAACGCAACTTTCTGGACGTCGATTACAGTGTTTCGAAGAATGAAAACTTCATTCTGGAAGTAATCTAGTTTTCTGGTACCAGTGATCTGGATTCTGGATTCTGGAAGTGATCCATTTGGGTGTAAAGGGACGAAGAGAGTATGTATCAACATCGGGTTATGTTACTATGAAATCATTTAGGCATTTCTTGTTTGTACGAACGATTTTTTTTTTTAATGTCGTTCTCTAGTGTAGTACAGTATAGTTCTAGAATATCTGGGGTTCTAGGGTTCAGATACTAGAAGTACCTCTGGCAAGGTGACTTTCATGTCCTTCTTAGGGGAGTTCTCCGCCATTGGACTAGTTCTGGAACTCACCTCTCTCCTGTGGCTCCCAGGAGATGTCAGCATTCCCCCCTGCAACAGCTTTGACGGGCTGGCTGAAACAGGAGAGGGGAACCGACCTGATTCTAAACCAACTCGGTGAATGGGAAATGCCTACCCTGCATGCAGAACCTGGACTCTGCGGATTGTGCGAATGAAACCTCCTATTCGTTCAACGGACAAGAGGGCGTTTACCAGCAGGCCCTTTGGAGCGCTTCGACCAAGGCAGGGCACTTAAGAGGTCCTAGTCATCCACTGTCCCTAGGTCTATTTCCAATTCTCTGGACATTGTCCTGCCATTAGACCAAGATGGACACAGGCGAGAGAGAGAGAGAGAGAGAGAGAGAGAGAGAGAGAGAGAGAGAGAGAGAGAGAGAGAGAGGGAGGTCGACGAATTGCGCAACTCTTCCTCTATTTAATCCAAGTCCTTGCACAAGTCCCTTTTATCCAGCTATCATCACCAACAGAATATATGCGTAGAATATTTTAATCCATTGATGTGTAAAACAACATTAAACAGAATTTTGTTCTATGTCAGTAATGTTTTGTCTTGATAAGGAATGGAAATAGATAAGGTGGAGACTATCAGTTAAATCCTCTCCTGGCCGGTGTGACAGCTTCCTACTTGTGTCCTGGTTCAAACAGATTTATAGTCCCGTGTTAAAAAAGATGGAGACTTGTATGCTCAATGTAGAGTTTCAATTATAGACTCTTTAGTCAAAGAGAGTTAGCGCCTTGTGGATGTTTTCTACAGAAAATGCAGGTGTGGTAGTAAACAACCAGCTAAACACAGTAGCTGGTTCTCGGTAGTTGAGTGATTCATGGCAAGCTAGATGTGACCAAAGCCCTTTTGGTGGCTAGTGAACGGTGTGGAGTCACACAAGATGCTAGTGAACGGTTTGGAGTCACACAAGATGATAGTAAACGGTGTAGAGTCACACAAGATGCTAGTAAACGGTGTAGAGTCACACAAGATGATAGTAAACGGTGTAGAGTCACACAAGATGCTAGTAAACGGTGCAGAGTCACACAAGATGATAGTAAACGGTGTAGAGTCACACAAGATGCTAGTAAACGGTGTAGAGTCACACAAGATGCTAGTAAACGGTGTAGAGTCAAACAAGATGCTTGTGAACGGTGTGGAGTCAAACAAGATGCTAATGAACGGTGTGGAGTCACACAAGACGCTAGTGAACGGTGTGGAGTCACACAAGATGCTAGTAAACTGTGTAGAGTCACACAAGATGCTAGTAAACGGTGTGGAGTCACACAAGATGCTGATGAACGGTGTAGAGTCACACAAGATGCTAGTAAACGGTGTAGAGTCACACAAGATGCTAGTGAACGGTGTAGAGTCACACAAGATGCTAGTGAACGGCGTAGAGTCACACAAGATGCTAATGAACGGTGTGGAGTCACACAAGATGCTAATGAACGGTGTGGATTCACACAAGATGCTAATGAACGGTGTAGAGTCACACAAGATGCTAGTGAACGGTGTGGAGTCACACAAGATGCTAGTGAACGGTGTGGAATCACACAAGATGCTAATGAACGGTGTAGAGTCACACAAGATGCTAGTGAACGGTGTAGAGTGTTTTCAACAGGAAATGCCGGTGTTGTAGTAAACAACCATAAAAACCCAGTGGCTGGTTCTGCGACACTCGGTAGTAAAGTGATTCATGGCAAGCTAGATGTGACCAAGGCTCTCTGGTGGCTAGTGAACGGTGTGGAATCACACAAGATGATAGTGAACGGTGTGGAATCACACAAGATGCTAGTGAACGGTGTGGAGTCACACAAGATGATAGTGAACGGTGTGGAGTCACACAAGATGCTAGTGAACGATGTGTAGTCACACAAGATGATAGTGAACGGTGTGGAGTCACACACGATGCTAGTGAACGGTGTGGAAACACACAAAATGCTAGTGAACGGTGTGGAGTCACACAAGATGCTAGTGAACGATGTAGAGTCACACAAGATGCTAGTGAACGATGTAGAGTCACACAAGATGCTAGTGAACGATGTAGAGTCACACAAGATGCTAGTGAACGGTGTGGAAACACACAAGATGCTAGTGAACGGTGTGGAGTCACACAAGATGCTAGTGAACGATGTAGAGTCACACAAGATGCTAGTGAACGGTGTGGAGTCACACAAGATGCTAGTGAACGATGTAGAGTCACACAAGATGCTAGTGAACGGGGTGGAGTCACACAAGATGCTAGTGAACGGTGTGGAGTCACACAAGACGCTAGTGAACGGTGTGGAGTCACACAAGATGCTAGTAAACGGTGTAGAGTCACACAAGATGCTAGTAAACGGTGTGGAGTTACACAAGATGCCGATGAACGGTGTAGAGTCACACAAGATGCTAGTAAACGGTGTAGAGTCACACAAGATGCTAGTGAACGGTGTAGAGTCACACAAGATGCTAGTGAACGGTGTAGAGTCACACAAGATGCTAATGAACGGTGTGGAGTCACACAAGATGCTAGTGAACGGTGTGGAATCACACAAGATGCTAATGAACGGTGTAGAGTCACACAAGATGCTAGTGAACGGTGTAGAGTCACACAAGATGCTAGTGAACGGTGTAGAGTCACACAAGATGCTAGTAAACGGTGTGGAATCACACAAGATGCTAATGAACGGTGTAGAGTCACACAAGATGCTAGTGAACGGTGTGGAATCACACAAGATGCTAGTGAACGGTGTAGAGTCACACAAGATGCTAGTGAACGGTGTAGAGTCACACAAGATGCTAGTGAACGGTGTGGAGTCACACAAGATGCTAGTGAACGGTGTGGAATCACACAAGATGCTAATGAACGGTGTAGAGTCACACAAGATGCTAGTGAACGGTGTAGAGTCACACAAGATGCTAGTAAACGGTGTGGAGTCACACAAGATGCTAGTGAACGGTGTGGAGTCACACAAGATGCTAGTGAACGGTGTGGAGCCACACAAGATGCTAGTGAACGGTGTGGAGTCACACAAGATTATCAGGATCTGAAGAGATAGGTACAGCTAGCTGTGATCCTGTGATCTTGCCGACACTCAACATTCAGGGCTGCTCCAAATGTCTCTAGTGTAAGAAATGTGCCACTGCCTTCTTGTTACATTTTGTTATCAATTATATCTGCTATTTTTGTTTAATTATGTTTTGTTCGATTGTGTTTTTAGAAATATAACGTTCTGTAATGTTGTTTATTCACAGTATATCACATTTACACTGTTCAACTGTAAGGGTTCACGCATAACAGCCGTATGTAACCGTGCGTTTGGGCGCGCGACAGTTTGTGTTTGTGTGTGCGCAAATGCATACATACATACATGAGTTATGAGTTAGATTCTCTTCACAGCACTCAGGACACATCCATAACCGCTCAGATTCCCCTCCCAACATATTCATCAGCGTCGTGCGGCTAATAGTACCAGTCCTATGTTGGTTAACAAGACTTCTTGTGCGTCAGGTGCTCTTCTTATGCTTGGCTGTGCCGATCTTTACTCCCAATTCGCGAATTCTTAGCAATGATGTGGACACGTCAGATACTTATATATGCTCATAGATACATACTAGTACATTTGTTAACGAAGCCAATTTAAACATTATATGATTTATTGGTTTTAATTAGGCATAAATATTATTAATTATTATTAAGATTCACTACTATTTGTCATGTCTTATGTGCGGTGAAGATTCTATTTAAATGAACAATGAATTTGTTATTTCACTACTGAATTTATAAATAGAAAGCACAACTGATCACGAAATAACAACAATGTTCATTAAATGAAACATGCCGCCATTCCCCTGTTCAGTTGACCTGTATAGTGAAGGACACCTTTCCACTCCTTTAGGCGTATAGGGCATATAGGGCTAGACCTATATTTTTTAGATCAATTGGCACAAGATAGGTGATGTGGTCAGCATCCCGCCAGCCGCCTTTACTTTCCGGGACTGCACCCGTTACCCACTCAAGGCTGGTTCGACCTGGAAGCCAAGGTCATTTTTAACAAAAGTCCGGCTCCGCCAGGGAGCGAACCCACGACCTTCCGATCCGCGGCGAGCGTCTAGCTGATCTGCCACGACGACTTCCTGTTAAATTGACCTAACAATGGACACAGGCGAGAGAGAGAGAGAGAGAGAGAGAGAGAGAGAGAGAGAGAGAGCGCGAGAGAGAGAGAGGGAGGTCGACGAATTGCGCAACTCTTCCTCTATTAAATCCAAGTCCTTGCACAAGATAGGCCACTGCATTTCAGTACGTGTACTTATTTGTTGAAACTAATGTGTAAATATCATGGCTAAATTGTCTGTCAATAAATTGTATTCTAACGCATTAGCGGATTTCACTGTTTGTTTGACAATACATAGAACCACATTTATAGATGCCCGCGTTGTTTGACTATTGGGACAGTTGTGGCATTTTATTCAGGAAACATACAACGTTCAGTTACAGAACCCGGCAAGTATCTAGCCCACGGATTTTACCAGTGGGTGAAAATAGGTGCAGTTCACTGAGCCGTTTCAAAGCAGGTGATTAAATGGGGGATGATCGATTGTAAGGAATGTAAAACGATTTCCGAATGCATTTTCTGGGTGTGAGTGGAACAGGGTATAGGACCCTTGACCGAAACTACACTGCTTATAACGAACCACGCCACTGGAAGCGCCAAAGCATGATCCAATTGTAT